TGTCCGGTATCACTGCTAAACAATGGCGTCTAGTTACGATAGGAAAAACCGTAAATGAATTGAAATCAGAGTTGCAAAGTAGAGGTGCAAAGACATCTGGGAGGAAAGCTGATCTGCACGTACACGTATGCTTGCGTGCGTGTGCACGTACACGTCGGTCCGTGCGTGCGTGTGCACGTACACGTGGTTGCGTGCGTGCGTGTGCACGTACACGTGCGTGCGCGCATAGGCAAGTACACGTGTGTGCGTGCGTGTGCACGTACACGTGCGTCCGTGCGTGTGCACGTACACGTGCATCCGTGCATAGGCACGTACACGTGCGTGCGTGCATAGGCACGTACGTGTGTGTGTGCGTGCGTGTGCACGTACACGTGCGGGCGTGCGTGTGCACGTACACGTGCGTACGTGCGTGTGCACGTACATGTGCGTGCGTGCGTGTGCACGTACACGTGCCTGCATGTGCATGTACACGTACGTGGGCACGTACACGTGTGTGCGTGCGTGCGTGGGTGCGTGTGCACGTACACGTGCGCGTGTGCGTGGGTGCGTGTGCACGTACACGTGCGTGGGTGCGTGTGCACGTGTGTGCACGTACACGTGTGTGCACGTGCGCGCGTGTGCACGTACACGTGTGTGCGTGCGTGTGCACGTACACGTGCGTGTGCACTTTCATCACCTCTTTTGATCGCCACACACCATTTCAATCTCAGTTCTGGGTCACTTGGGCCCCCACTGTTTCGCGAACAGGCATGGTCCTTGCATTTCTTTTTGCTAAGATCTTTCTGTGCCCCTCGGAAGCATCATGCGCTTTAACAGTTTCCAAACGATAGTTTGTAGTGCCGGTGAAAAAACTACCAGACATACAGCCTGCACCACAGGTCATAGTGATACCCTTGGCTGGGTCGACTCATATTCTAGCCACGGGTATGGCGATTTCCACGCTGGCTGGAACGCACGCATCCTTTTCGTCTTATCATAGACACGCTGACCATCTAATTTCTCCTCCTGCGATTTACGTTTGGGAGGTGGAGGGGAGCGCCGTCCAAATACTTTCACATAACAACCTTGATGTTAGTAAATTATACTATTGGATAAGGATGTACCTACTATTAGCTTCACTACTATTTGTATAGACTGCTTCAAGTAACACACGCATGCGATGTGAATACCTCCCTATGAGAGCCTATAACTGATTAGTTGCGTCATTTCTACAATCAGACCGTTTGTTCTATGTCAACAGCTACTGTCAAGCGATCAATCGCTAGACTGGGTGGGTTTGAGACCCCATTGTTTAACAATGTTTGCACTGCCATAGGGTCTAGCATGCTTGGAGCGTGCAGAGCGTGCTAGCGTCTACTCTACTTGGACTAGCGCGTCTAACAGGGAAAACTTGTTAATTTGGACGAGTTATATATAGCTCTTTGGATCTTGGATGAGAGACGCTGCCGCCGGTAAAATCGATAGGAAATTGGGACGGTGAGGGACGGGGAAAATATAACTAGTCCTGCCGGACTAACTGCTATGGGAATCTACTAGTCCTTCTGATTTTTTACTAGTCTCGGACTAACGGACTAGCGTTAGTGTCGAACCCTGACTATGCTCGACTAAAATCAGCGATCGTTTGACGGTGGATTTTTAGACAAGGCTAGTTAATGCGTGACACTACCATGCGGATAGCGCTTCGGTTTCAGCTGTTTAACTTGTGTCAGTTTTCCCACGTCCTGATCTAGTGGTGGTTGTGATTTAGTTGTTTATTTTGCTGGGCTTATGAAATTTACAGTGTATATAGCAAACTGATGTTTATATTTTAAGCTCATAATCACATAACCTCATAAAGATTAGTCTTCAAAGGCCAATAGACTATATCGAAGACTGAGAGAGATAAAGTTGATCAAATAGACAGATCAACTCTCTGGGTTGCCATAGAAAAAGCTTTAATATTGCAATTAACCAAAGAGGAATAACCAATTCTAATAACAGAGCTGGAATACCATGTGAAGTTAATCAAAAAAGCGTCAGATTTCAAGATTTTTGTTTGTGCTAAACGATTAAATCAGACAGTAGGAAAATTAAACAGTTATAAATTTGTTATTATAATGCACAGGTATGGCGAAAAGACCTTGCGGTCATCGAGTCAGCCATACTCATTAGTTACAGTACATAAATTATTACATTCCAATACACGATGTTGAATGATATTAGCAATACATGACGTGGTCTGATGACAACAGCACACACAATCCATCACAATACACAACGTTGTACTACGTACAATACACGACGTTATATTATATTACTATACATGACATGACATTATAAAACAATGCAACACATTACGATTAGACAAATTTTATAAACATATGACATTACAAGATATGATGATATATGATGTTTACATTTACATGACGTGATCAGATGATTACAACACATACTAACCATAACAATACCCGACGTAATACTACCTACAATACATGCCATGATATGACATTATACTACATATAAGACATTACAAGACATGATAATATATGATATTTACAATACATAACGTGATATGACATTACGACACATTGTAAAACCATACGATAGGTTACAATTACAAAAACATTACGTACGTTACATTACTTTACAATACAATACCATACTGTATACATATGTATATATGCAATATGTTATGTATGGAGCACCGGATAGACTATATACAAGGCTCGACACTAACATTTTTTTTCAGTGGCCCGATCGGGCCACCAAAATCATTGATTTTCAATTTTTGGTGGCCCGAAAATGAAATCTGGTGGCCCGAAAAAAAACACAAAGAAAAACATTATAAATCTTTATTTCAATCTCGTATTGTATATTATTTGAAAATTGGGCCGTCTGATGCACTTGCACAAGTCTTTAAACAAACCCCACACAATGGCACACACTGACATTGATGATTGAGGCATACATTTGAATTATCCATTCCACGGCATCAAATTTTCACCAGAATCTTGCATACCATTTTTCTACTTTCACTCATTATTTATCTAAACGATCGATAAACCGTGCCCGCGGTAGAATGCTGCACGTGCGTACGTGTGCCCTCGCTCCGCGAAATAATACCTCTCTTTTGAATGAGATTAGCACGTAAGAAACAATTATTTTTATCACATAGACACTTTTAAATTTTAGT